CACATAACACTTGTAAGTATAGACGCTCTAGTACCAATATGAACGACAAAACGAAATTGGCGATGCTCGCTTTCTAGCCCCTCTTATCAGCTATTATCAGTCGTTATCAGTTCCCATCGCACACCACTTGTGTCCCCATCCAATCCCCTATAACATACAGTGCGCGTCAATTGCTTATGCCACCCCTGATTTTTTCGGTTTTCTGACTTGTTTGGAAATTTCGTAAATCGGCATAGCAACCATCGGTTTCGGCGTGTCGGAAAACTGAATGGTGTTGTTCGATTTTGGTTAACGCGGGAATTTGACTTGCTCTGTTCTTTTGAAGAAAATGGGCCGCGTCAATTGCTTATGCCATCCTAAAGTTTCCTCGAATTTCTCATTTTTTAACGCTATTTGGTTGCAGTACGCATGTAGTATAAAAGAGGAAGTCCTCCACTTATATGATGCACATGAATGGTCGGCCATCCATGACATAGTGACGTTTCACAATATTAGCCCTTATAGTGGACAGTAGCGCAGCATAAAACGCTCTATGTCAGATAAATACATGTGTTCTCTCTTCTCCTGCTCTTGTGCGGTCGTTCCTGCTGCTCGTTGTAGTACTCATCGGGGAGTGTATTCAGGCAAGACTGGAGGATTCGGCGTGCTCAAGTAGCCTTCAAATTCACCTTTTTCGGCGCATTAGACCAGTGGTCAACATTATTTGTGGTCTCGGCTCCCGCGAAACTCGAAGCGTTCACGCTCAAAAAGTCTCTCTTCAGAGAGAACATGAACCTACTTACCACCGCGCTGGTACCCATTGCTGAACTCGATCGAAGTTTCCTTGAAAAAGGCGATGCAATGATGGCCCATGCCACCACCTTCGGTGTCCCGTTCAAGTTACAACTGGCCCATGTCATCATTTTCGCTCACTTGGTACGAAAATTTTTCCAGAGAGAATCCGATCAGGTTCGGCGATGAGGTACCAGGCGGATTGTGAGTACGATCATACTCTCTCTGAACAGAGATACTTTGTGAGCGTGAACGCTTCGAGTTTCGCGGGAGCCGAGACCACAAATAAAGTTGACCACGGATCTAATGCGCCAAGAAAGTGAATATGAAGGCTTCTTTTGCACGTCCAATCCTCCAGTCTCGCCTGAATACACTCCTCGATGAGTACTACAACGAGCAGCAGGAGCGATCGCACAAGAGCAGGAGAAGAGAGAACACAGATCTTTATCTGATAGAGCGTTTTATGCTGCTACGTCCACTATAAGGGCTAATATTCATATCATATAAGTGGAGGATTTCCTCATTTGTATTACATGCACACCGTAGCTGAATAGCGTTAGAGACATGAGAAATTCTGAAGAAACTTTAGGATGGCATAAGCAATTGACGCGGCCCATTTTCTTCAAAAGAACAGAGCAATTCAAATCCACGCGTTAACCAAAATCAAACAACACCATTCTTAGTTTTCCGACACGCCGAAAACGATGGTTGCTATGCCGATTTACGAAATTTCCAAACAAGTCAGAAAACTGAAAAAATCAGGGGTGGCATAAGCAATTGACGCGCACTGTATGTAAGAACCATTGTGCTATCGTTACTGTGACTCGAGCTATGAATTTCGTGACACACACATACATACATACACACATACATACTTAGCGAATTATATATAGCAGGTTTGTACATCATGTGAGTTAAATTCAATTGGCATTCTCCGTTTGCAAGCTTAAAATATATTGTTGTGAATATGTGCCCATAATTTTGGGACACCCTTTATACGATCACTACGTCAGCGCACTATCCCAATCTCCTACCATCCTAATCTCCTTCTCTACTACTATCCTACTATCGTAATCTACCACTTTCTGGCGTTTTCATTCGATGCCAATCTAATTTTACCAGTTTTGCTCCGCCCGCTATCGCGCGCATCACACGGCAGGCTTTAGCGAAACTGGAGGACCCATGGAATATCAGCATGAGACTCCATTAACCATCTCACTATTGAATGTGTTAGACCTTTCCCAGTTTCGCTGAAGTCCATCGAGAATACGCGTGATAACGTCTGGAGCTGAACTGGTATTTATCTCACAACTGTAAACATCCAGCATTCTTCTTGAATTCAGATAATTTAGCGGTGAATAGGATTGCTGTCAGTCTCAAAATGAAAATGAAATATGCCTATTTACATAAGTGAGGAGCTAAGGCTTATCATTTATTTACATTCACCATTATTTAGAACCCCGAAAGGATTAGCGGTTTAATGAGTTTGGGCTTTCTTGATAGAAATGAAACTTATCATTTGCTGAAGACTTGATTGAGTTTATGCAATCGACTGCTATTAAGTAAGCTGGTCATACAATGATACAATGTGCACGTACCACTACAAATAGAATTTGTAAGTAGGGACGCTCTAGTGTCAGCGCAACGGAATCGACGACTTTTGCGTTCTGACGCGCCTTATCAGCCTTTATCAGTTGTAACCACTTTCTATCACCCACCAACAATGTCCCCCCACCCACATAACACTTGTAAGTATGGTTGCTCTGGTGTCAACGCGAGCCAGGTAACGGAATCGACGACTTTTGCGTTCTGACGCGCCTTATCAGCCCTTATCAGTTGTAATCACTTTCAATCACCCACCAACAATGTCCCCGTCCCACCCCACATAACACTTGTAAGTATGGACGCTCTAGTGTCAACGCGAGCTGGTAACGGAATCGACGACTTTTGCGTTCTGACGCCCTTATCAGCCCTTATCAGTTGCTATCGCTTTCAATCATGTACCACCAATGTCCCGGGACCACCCCACATAACACTTGTAAGTATAGACGCTCTAGTACCAATATGAACGACAAAACGAAATTGGCGATGCTCGCTTTCTAGCCCCTCTTATCAGCTATTATCAGTCGTTATCAGTTCCTATCACGTACCACTTGTGTCCCCATCCCACCCCCTATAACATATGTAAGAACCATGGCGCTATCATTACTGTGACCCGAGCTATGAATTTCGTGACAAACACACACACACACACACATATACACACGCACAGACATACTTAGCGAATTATACATAGTAGGATAAGCGTACTATCCTACTCTCCTAGCCCAATCCATGTACTACTCTCCTAATGTCCATGTTAATACATATCTTTTCCACTGTAGCGTAGAACCCTAATCTCCGAAGTCGTGAGATGAACGCGGTCTACAAAGTGCTCTTGTACACCAGTTCATCCC